TGGCTCTGCTTTGAGCAGGAGGTTGGATTTAAGACCTGCTGAGGTTGTTCCTCACTGAATGACCTTATACTGTGACCTTTGCTGTACTGCATACAGCTAGTAAGTAATACAAGTAATACAGCTTGTCATAAAGTTAATGATATACTCTTTAAATTCCTTCTAAGTAATTAATTATGTAAAATAATGTGCAAAAAACTCCCTCAAACCAACAAACAGTGCAAAAAACAGTGTGGCCTGTTGAGGGAGCTCCATGGGGTGATGTGCCTGATATTTACTGGCCCCATTTGGACAAGTAACTTTTGCTTTTTCAGGTCTTCTTTCCTGTAATCACTTGTGCCTAAATGGCAAGAGTCTCTTTTCTTGTTTCAATGAGTTTTTGAGAAGTCAAAAACTGTTCTCAAAGGTTTGCCATGCATCTCCTGCTGACTATAGCAAGATCTGCAGTCATGTCTTTTGGGGAAGATTTGAGATGGAATTCTTTGCTGTTCTTCTGTACCACATAAGCATTCAAGATGCAGGTTGAATATGGAGAACAAAAGCAAGGCATGATTAGCCCTAAAGGTTGAAAAGTATAGCTCTGCATGAATTCCTGTGCAGGGCCTTAGAAAGGGTTTCAAAGACAAGAAGATTTCCTGATGCCTGTATGTGATATGTACTCCTCTCCAGGAAGAAGCACAGAGAGGAATTATAGAGGGAGAAGCTGCACCAGGGTCCAGTTTCCATGAGAACCTGGTGAAGGAGAACTGCTTTTTGCTGTGCTGCTTCTCCCTTGACACGCAGTGAGAGAACTGTCCATTGTCTTCATGTGAATGTAACCTCCCTTCATGAATGCAGCCTGCCAGGGCAGACAGCTGGAGGTAACATCACTGTGGAGGAAGCTTCTGGATTATGCCTTGGGCTCATCTACAGGGAGTCTTCTGATACATATGTGACTACTGCACTATAAAATATTCCAGAGTATTTACTGGACAAATTGTAGTTGCAAGAACTTTTACAAAGTTGTCACTCATAACCAGCTGTGTGTTGGCAAGGCACCAGAACCCCAAGCATTCATGCTCTCAAACCTCATTCTTGTCTTGTCTGCATTGTAAGAAGCAAATTTTGAGGATTTTTTATGTTTTGTACCCTATTAAATGTTTGCCTCGAATTATAAATTAGTTCTGAGTCTACACAGACATAACTAGAAAGCCCAATATCAGAACTAAAAACGTGCTATGTATCTCTTCAAAATCTTGAATGAAAAAAAGCAAAAGAATGCAAAAAGCTTAAATGGAATAGTTATTGGCCAGATATAACCAAAGCTACATCCTATTCTAATATTAGGCTTAATTTTGGCTCAAACAGGCTCAAATGCTCCTGAGATCCCATCTTAATGGCACACATTTTGTTCTCTGGTGTTTTAGGAGCACTATGGGTTATTGGTGATTCAGTTGAAAAATATCTAATTAATTTCAGAAAGCATTATCTGCTCTGGTGAAAATTAACAGCTTAATGAATCAAGATCAAAGGGAACTTTACAACACTGGGGTCTATCAAATCAGACATGCCTAGCAGTCCTCTCACTTGACCATTAAAGATTTTTTGATTAACTGGGGACTTGAACAGCAGAACCCAAATTAAATTTGGTCCCAGGTAATTATTTCAACTCTTCCTAAATTTTCAGTGGAGGAAGCTAGAAGTGTCCTAAATGCCTGGGTTCTGCACATGAATATCAGAGAAATAAAACAACAAAAGAAATTCTGTCTTGTGAACATTGTCTCGTCCTAATCAGTCTAATGCTAATCATGTTTGATACCAGGAGGTGACTGGCCAACAGGACATGCAGAGCAGTGAAACAGTGGTAACAAAATAGTTAAGGCTCATGTTTTTCTCCTGGAGTTGCCTGTCTTCTAGGGCTTATGTGAGCACTTCCACACCCAGTGCTGTGACAGGGATGTTCCCTGTGGAGGCAGCACCATCAAGACCACAGGACATGGCGTGAGGAAAAGCATGGAGCATCTTCTGCAGCAGTGTTGGTACCACCCCCAGTGGCTGCCCTGCAGTCTGCTCTTGGCTCTGGCACTGTTTCTATACCGTCCCATCCCTACAGAGCCCCAGCCCTGAGAAGAAGCATGCCAAGGCTGTGTGATTTATATTTGCTAGAGGCAATTCTCTCTTCCTTCCACCTTTAAATGGATTTTAAAAAAATTCCATTCACCACAAAATTAAATGTGCTCTTACGTGTTTATTTAGGTCTGCTCTTTTATGTGCATTTCTTATCAATTGAAAGGCCAATCTTTGTCTTGGCACAGGCAGATAGATATTTGAGATGGCTCAAAATGCTTTCAGAGGAAAGGAATGTTTCTTTTCCATTTCTAAAACCTGTAATAAATTCTTTGCCAAGCCCTGCAAGTCAGTCTGCATAACTTTTTTAAGAACTTTGGAATCTTTTCACAGCAAGAGGTGGTCTGACTTTTTTCCCTCAAGGTTTGTTTTTAAAATATTTTTCCTTTTTTTTTTCTCTGACCACATCTGTAGTGATTTTTTAATATATGTTTGTACAAAACATCTTTCAATTAAATAGATACACTTATGTACACATATACATGCATATATATATATATATATATATGTAGACAGAAGTTGAGTTGCTTCTCCCTTTAAACATGTGTACCTGAACCCTTCACAGGATCACATCTCCTCTCATAGTCTTTTGAACAGAACTACCAGACCATTAAACCTCTGTCACTCTCCACTAGCCATGACTGATATGTTTTAATTTGTCCTTCAACCTTCTCAAAAATTCTTCAGTAGAAAACTGTGTATTCAGCAAGAAATGAAAAGTTTTCATTTTGAATGCCAGAGTTCAGATTTTGCTTGTTTTCTTACTCCCAAGCAGAGGATGTCTCTGGAGTAATTAGAAAAAGAATAGCATTAATTCTGCTTCTCACTGAGGAGGATGCTTCATTAGGATTGATTGCTCATTTCCAAAGATTGTACATGGCTAATATAATTACCACTGGAGAACACAAGGCACTGAGCAACACTTATATCCTTTGGACCACCAAAGTAAATGGACCCTTTAGAACAAGTTGAATACTTTTATTTATAAGGAATGTATAAGTGAGGGTTGCAGTACCAGCAGGAATACTGTCAATTAAATTATGGCTCTATGACTAAATTTGAGTCTCCTTTCCTTTACCCTGAAGGTTTTGTACATGCATGTACAAGAGTCTATCTCTACACACATACGAGACTTTATATAGGACTGGATGAGACATCAGTGAAGGCCACCACAAGAGGCCACACCAGAGGGGTCACAGTTCTGTTTCACTTCCATTGGAAAGTCATCACCATCAAGCAACTCACTTATGCTGATAACTTGAGCCTGATTCTACTTCACACAAAATTTCCAACTGCAGAAAAACAAAACTACTCCAGAAGCCCTCATCCTTTGATTCTTCTGGTATCAGTTACAAAAGAATGGCTTATGAACCAAGGACCTGAGTTTTTTCCTATGTTATTCCTATATTTTTATTTCTTCCATGCTGGCCTCATTTCTGAACAACTTCTTGTAATTGGGACAGAGTTTTATGGGAGATCACAGGAAGCTGGTTTTGTCCTTAGGTGAAGCCATGAATACTGCTACCTGGCCTTGCAGGCCGCAGGACCACCCATTCAGTTTGTAGCAAAGGGCAAGATATTAACTATTATGTGCAGATTTTGGCAGGTAAGAAAGTAAAGAGGTTTCACATAAAATGTACAAAACTATACAGGACAAAAAAGTGTGGTCATCCAAACAGAAACATGAAGAGACTACGTAGAGATGAGAGAAAACCAGAACATGTTCTTTCCTAATGAGCACTTTCCTGATATAGATATTAAACCTGAATAAAATGGGTGTTAACTGTCTGAAAAGAAAATCTACAATACATAAATGTGGGCAGAGCATTTCTCACATCAGTTCTGAAAATATCAGAGCAGGATTAAGACAAGATCAACCCAGGGGAAGACTGGTAGTTGCCCCACTACAAAGATGAACCACACCTCATATTCAACTCAGGATTTTGAGATGCCGCCTGCTGTGCAGCAGCTGCAATTATGAGCACACTGTCCAAAAGGTGCAGGCAAGCATTTAGGGAAGCTATTTTGGTCAGCATAAATATAGTCATCCTTTGCTTCAGCAGTTGAAATGAGAGACTGGGAGGAGGAGACACACCCACCTTCCTTCCACATCCACATAGAACTTTGAATCCCAAAGAGCCTGGACACTTGTGAAAACATGTGGAACACAAAACAGAGCCTGTGTTGTTTACTGTTGCTACCTTCCATGCAGTGAGAGCTAAACTGCAGCATAAAGCACAGGACATCAAAATCCTGGTCATTGGGAACTGGAGCTGGACTCACCAGTGGGAGGGGACTAGTCAGAGCAGGGGTGGAAAGGAGGAGCAGTTTGGAAGATAATACTGAGGCAAAATGTCAAGAAGTCATGGGACAGAATTACCTGTATAAGGATCAGGGGCAAGTCAAAGACAAACATATGGAAAGATACAGGGTGTGTGGAGGGACATCTGCCCATATGGCAGTCAAGGGGACAAGCAACAAATTGCAAAAGGAGAAATCAAAACTCTCCCTTTCCCCTCAACTCTCACGCCTTTCCTCATTAAGGGCATTTAAAGATATCCTAGTATTTTTCTGATACTTCCTTTCCCATCAAAGCACATCCTGCAATTTCAGTGGTGATGGTAAGTCTTGATGAATAAGGGTGAGGAGGGTTAGGAAATGCCACAGCGGTCTTAAGCAATTAGAGCTGAGAGGGGAAGTGCCCCTGGAGCAACCGTGATGAAGGTGCAGTCTGAATATTTCACGATCCCTGCCCTAGGTACAGCACGTACATCACCAGCACACACACAATGCAAACAGAGTTACAGAAAGAGGAAGAACATTGAGAACCTTGCTACAAAGGCAGCTTTTCCTATAAGGGAAACGGTGGAGCTGAGGGTCCAGGAATACCTACTTACCAGTTAAGTGGCTGGCAATCCTGGCAATAGGTTTAGGAGGCAGGGCAGGGGGCTGTTTGAGGAGGGACAACTGTTTCACTGGGGTGTCCTCATGGTCTCCAGGGAAAGCGGCAGATTTTTTGGGGGGAAGTAGCAGGACTGGCTTAGCTGTAGGATCTTGGGACAGGAGGACGCCGGATTCATTGGATGTGGGGCTCTCTTCAGACACTGGAGGACACAACCACATCATAGACGCAACAACGTTACGAGCAAAGCAGCAGCAGATACAGCCGAAGTCAGACAAGAAAAGCAGCACAGCAATGCAGATTAGGAATGACTCATAGATTTCACTCAAACATCGTATAACGTAGAAAGGAGGAAAGAAGGAAAGAAAGAAAGAAAGAAAGAAAGAAAGTAAAAGAAAAAGAGTAACACACAGATCTACACAACAGTCAAATTTCCCATTACTTCTGAGAGAAGCCAGCTCCCATCCAGGCTGGGTAATACTTCCACATCAGGAACTCAAATCAGGTTTTATAATGTCATGTCTCTGATGGTCTGTCACCACAGTTTGCCTAGGACCAGATATGTTAGCAGGTGGTCTGTAAACTTACCCTGTTAAATGTAAAAAGCACCTCACGGGGCCTACTCTCTTTTGAAAAGGCTGCATAGCTGCGCAAGATCACGGATGACAACTTCTACTGCTCACTTTTCCTCACTTGACCTTAGTCCACAACTCTCAGCAGCACAATCTGATGCAGAAAGAGGAGCTAACCTAGATGTAGAGCATTGCTGCCTCCCTGCACAGGCTGGGGAAGAAGAGCAGCCAGCCTCACCCAGGGCAGAGCAGCTGACTGTGTTAGTTACTGACAGATGTGTGGTGGGAACTTCAGACAGCACCATGGGACAGGTAGAGGGCACAACGTTGTACCCCAGGGCTCAAGAGTTGTAAGCTCTCTGCTCTAGAGCTCATTGGTACATCTGAGATGTAGACAGAGAGCTGGAAACCTGCTTTTACATGTTCACAAAGTGCAGGGGTTTTGCCTCACTCTGAGAGAGGTTACTTGCCTAGAGGTAGAGCATTAATTCTCCATCATGTCAGTCAAAATTTCTTGTGGAGCATTCAGTGACAATCTCTACACTGTCACCTCCTTCTACCCCAGAAGACCTTCATTTTGACAAGGATTTCTCAGGGTTAAACACCAAATGTTAGAAGTCAAAAACTTGTTTCAAACAGCTTAGAGTATCTACACCATAACATAAATGAGATGTTACCTGTCCCATCCATGATCTCTGTGGTTGGGAGCACCTCATATGAGCAGGGTTCCACAGATGCTGGGACTGACTCCAGTTCTGCTAGGGCTGGCAGGGACACCTGGCTGGAGCTCAGCCCAGAGCCCAGAGGCTGCCCATTCTCCAAAGCTCCTTCTTCATTTGGTATGGAAAGTTCCCCATCTGTTCATAGTTGGAGGAAAGAAGAATGGCAAAAAAAAAAGACATAAATAAAATGCAGACAGAATTTTAAATTAAATCTATTTCCATTTAGATTGTTTTCAAATGAGGAACTTGGACTGAGATCTTCTATATGCACATGCACTGGGTTTACGTGGAAAAGTTTTGATACCAGGGGGTCTACATGGGTGACTTCTGTGAGTAGCTGCCAGAAGTTTCCCCATGTCTGATGGAACCAGTTCCAAGCTGGACCCACTGCTGGCCACGGCTGAGCCTATCAGTGATGGTGGTAGCACCTCTGGGGTAACATATAATTATAGTCAAATATCTGTATTCATCTTTTGCTCTACCCTGGAATGGTTATTATGAACTGTGCTCTAAGTTGGTTGATTCCTGACCATCCTTGACCCACATAGATATGCAGTCCCATCCAATACAAAAAAAAAATCTATTTTCCCTCTCTTTGTTGAATCTGGGAAGTCAGGAACGACAGTAGGCTGGAACTAAAGAATATTAATACATATTGTATATAACATTTTAATATTAATAACAATAATTATTAGCTTTCCTCATGCCAACTTTTATGCTATAAGGGACACAAAATCACAGGGATATGTCCCTATTTTACATACAAATAACCACATTTTATGTAAGGAAGAGAATATTTTTTTTATTTGCCTGATGTAAAGACTTGATACTGGGGTATATCAGATTCCATTTAGAAAGCCTGTTTTTATAGTTACTAATAATATCTCCTCTATCTGAGCAAAATTTCTGTGACAGCAGCTGGCATTTTCTTTCCTATCAAATATCCCTTCACATTAGAAATAATAAAGAGCAGAAGAAAGGATTCAAATTATTCTCTATGGTGTCAACCTGTATGATTTTTATCTCTGAACTTGTTAAGCACAGCACTCGGGTTCCTGGAGGCAGTGGCTACATGGACATCACAATTAGAGTTTTATAAAGAAAAGTGTTCAGCCCCTATGGTTACAAATGGAAACCTGAAAATATAACTGAAATGTGACCTGTAAAATTAAAAACCAGCAGGCAAATATGCAGAACTTGATTTTACTATTTAAATTACTTCTAAAAATGAAACTCAGGATTTCAGAATATGCTTTTAGATTTTTGGGCCCCACTGATTAGCCATATGTAGCTCAATGTATTGAGTGGAGATGTACATCAGTCAAATAAGTGCACATTTTCCCCTCACAGGGCTAACAAATCACTTTGGAAAACAATACTGAAAAGATAAAAAGTCTAATTTTGGTGCTAGTATACAGCAATTAAGAAGTCTGAAAATACATTAGCTGATAACTATTCAGAACAATGTTTCTGCCATTTAAAGCTTCTCTACAGCAAGTGAAGATGGCCTCCTGTCTATTTTGGAATTATTATGAATACCGAGGTCTTGACTTTCTTGGTTTTGTTGGAGGCTTTTTGGAGCCCAGAGAGCTATTATGGTAGTGCAGTCACATCATACTAGACTGAAACCTGACCCATGACTTTGAGAGATCAACTGAGCTGGCTAAAAGGTGGCAACATGAATTAAAGCTATAGGCTTGGGCCAAGTGTTTTTAGCGCAAACTCCTTTCTAACTGCTGTGCCCATTCTATTCAAAACTGTTTACTTTCCGAGGCAGCAAAAATAAAAAAAAAAAATCAGCCAGTATATAAGCTGAACATTTTTTTACTTAGCTGTTTCGGTAGAAATGCTGTGTACTCTATGCTGGCTCTGTCTCCCTTTTATAAAGACATGTTTGGGATAAGGATTAATGTTCTCTCAGTCTCCGGTTTCATGAAAGAGTGTAACTGTTTCTTATGTAGAGCATCTGCTTCTTGAATGAAAGGCAGCGACTGTGTCCAGCAATATATTCATTAATTCAGTGCATTAATTCAAACTAAATGTGACTGTAACTATGAGAAAAGTATGCACGACAGACCCAGTAATGTTTGCTTTTTGGAGGGATGACTACACATTCTTCATGAAGTGAGATGCCTATTGTAATATGCCGAGCACCTTGAAATCCTACTGTCTTAAGTGTGCTATGTACTTCTCAAGGTATATTAGCATGATTTAAAAAAACAGCATTTGAATGATCCATGAAGACCTACAATTGCAAAAAAAGTAAAATGTAAGAGAAAATTTTGGCTTTTACCTTTTGTCTTAATACTAATGCATGGCATCTTTCTGTACCGACAGTGTAACCTTTTTTACTCTTACATCTGAATAGCTTTAATCTTGATTTAGAGTCTAAAGCTTGTCCTTGGATTTGAATGAAATCATCAGACACGGCACAGAATCATGACTGAAATATACACCCTAAATCAGGTACTGCTTAAAGAAGAGCTACCTTGAGAGTTGCTCAAGTACAGCAAACAGATCAAAGATGTGGAAAAAATAATTTGTAGAGGAAAGAGTATCTCAGTATGAATTAATCCTGCATCAGAGATATGCTTGACAACCAGATACAAAAGGCAAATTACTTATTATTTTCAAAGTATTAAAGCTATTCCAGTTGGCTGATATACAAATGAAAAGAATCCCGGTAATGCAATCATTACATATACAAGGATGAACTTATCTGTTTTCAGGAACTGGCTATGAGTTTAAAGTTAACTTTGCACAGTGATAACATATGTAATCTTTTGTTCTCAGACTTGCTAAATCCTTTGCTATTTTCAGTGTCTGGTGCTACTTAGTGGAAAATTACTAAGTCCAGGAGCTTTAACAACATCAGCTGTTCGTGAAACTGGATGGGTCCACGAGGGAGTAGCTTGACCTCTGCAGCAAGAGAGCACATGAAGGCTGCTCTTCCTGCTCTTACTCAGGAGTCTCTGCACACCTGAGGTCACTGAAAAAACAGGACTTCAGAGGAAACTCTCTTATGCAAAGGACTCTGCCCAGACACTTTGATTCATCTCAGCATGTGAAAGCACAGCATGGGACAAAGGCCCAGAGATACAGATGATGTCTTCAAAACCTGTGGCTCCTAAGCATGGTTTGTACTCCTGAACACCTGCATTTTCCACTCTCGGGTACTTCTAAAACATTGCCTGGTGTGAAGCAACCCACAGTGCATCACACTGACTGGCACAAACCAGTCCTGTTGTGTTCCCCCTTTTGTAGCTCTGCCTACCCTCTCACTGTGTCTTTTACTCTGAACTACCTTGGAGTACATAACTTTTTGCATATCTGAAAAGTGCCATGCTCATGCATTCCTTCTACAGAAGACTAGCTATGGAAGTCAAAATGGACAAGTTGAAATCCTGGATTAAGTTTTGGATAGGGTTATTTCCTTCAATACTTGTCTGCTCTCAAGTAGACTGTCCAAGCAAGAAATTCTGGATGACAAAGACTAGGAAGGGCAGAGTAAAATTCATTGCCATTCTCTGCCATGACCCCAAGGGTGGGAAATGGAAAATTGAGTGTTCTTGCACATGGTCAAGACCTGCCCCTGGAACTGTTTCCTAGCCTTGGTGGCTACCTTAGAACAGTAGCAGGGATCCTGCACAACTTCAGCGCCTAAGCAGACCCCTGATTTTGTGGGATCCCACGGAGTTTGAGACAGGCTGCTTCTGGAGGAGTTCAAAACTTTTCACTGCAGGACAACTGGCTCTCCAGTGGCTTCCATGCCTTCCTGCTGCTTTACCAAAGCCACAAAGTTTGTTCTCACATATTGTCACAAAATCTGCTTTAGTGCATAAGTGCAACATGTCCAAATCCTGTCAGGACTTAGGCTACCTGAATTTAAGTCTAAATCCATAATTTTAATTAGATAGAGCATATTAAAATACCAGATTATAAAAGACGAAGACTGCCCCTGTTTCCTTGGAAAACCATTGCAACATTGCCTTTGGCATAAGTAATTGGTGCACATTCATATTCAGAAATTTCTCACTACAGGCAATCTCATCTACATTCAGAAAGAAGAAGAGCTATCAAAATACTACAAGTAGATTTAGTTCTTTGACCAGCAGCATGAAACAGTGGGCAATTCTAATGACAAATGTTTTTGGGATGGTTACACCTCCATGTGGAAATCAAGGTCTGCTCCTATGTGTAGGAGTGATGGCAAAAATATGAGTTCTTCTAAATGTTGAGGTATGTTCTATGATGCAGGTGGAAAATGTGTTTTTAACCTCTCAGAACTATCTGCCCACAAATTATAAGAACAGCAGGAGCTTAATCAGATACTTCTTCAACTTACAATTTTCCGAAAGTACAGAGTATTTGAAAAAAATTATAGCCTTTGCCTACATTTTCAGAATACTCAAGTCACAGAGCCCTGGAAATGGAAGATAACAGAAACTGATTCCGTTGTGAGTTTGGCCCTTAGTAAGGAAGCTCTCTCTGCAGTTCAGTCAGGAGCAGCTTCAAGTGACTAATTTAAATGTGGGGGTCACTGAAATAATAACAGCATTTCTTGTTTTCCAAATGCAGCAGCTGGACTGCAGTGACTCTCCTATGTGTGGCTACTGTGACTCACTGCACTCTGATAATTTTCACCTGCTGGGTGACACGAAGTCCTCTGAAAAGTCAGCAAATCCTGAAGCAAACAGGTCAGACTGTCACCTTAAACAGCAGGCAAACCAACCAGCTAATTATGCTTTTCTTCAAGGTAGAAGATTTGACAAAAACAAAACAAAACACAAGGCAAAAATTCTTGTTCTTGGGTCAATCTGCCTGCACTATTTCCTTTTATCGGTATGGGTTTTTAAAGAAAGAAAAAGCCAAAGTTACTCACAGGCCTGCTTTGCCCACCTCATAGGAAAGGGAGACAAAGAGATTTACACCTATTGTCTGTGCAAGATGCCTCTTGGCATGGAAGGTGCTACCACAATCAAATAAAGCGTTCTACCAGGAAATGCTAAAGGTCTGTTGTTTTCTCGAAGGATTAGAGGTTACCTAACAGGAATTACAAAGAAAATGTAACTTCCACTTAAGGCTGTCAATGAAAAAAATCCTTCATTAGAATTACTCTCAGATTATTACACCACTGAAGGAAATAATGCTTTTGCTCTACACATCTTGCCTTGTTCACATCCTTGTATCATCATAGCTGTTTGAGTACTGCTGCTATTCTTGTGTATTACCACCTTCTTCTCTGCCCTACCTCTTTCTATCCATATCAGCTTTGTAAAGGTGAAAAATCACTATAAAGAGGAAATAATTTCTTTCTTTCAAATGCCTACAGACAACTTACAATTTGCTTCACAAGATGACACAGAAGTTTTCAAACAACATCATTTGATCAAGAAGAAAAAAAACCTGTAATGCTTTGGTAGCAATAGAAGAGGAATCTTCTCAAGTTTCAATGTGGAAGGCAAGTCACAGAAGACTTCACAGAAAAGATTTTTCCTGGGGAAGCCTTTAGGATTATGCAGCGCTGGTTCAGAGGGTGGCTACATGTCCTTGGATTTGTATACGAGATACGAGGATATGGGATATGAGGCAGGGATGAAGAAGGTCACACCTGGGACAGAGGTGTGACTGAAGGCTGCCTTCTGAGCTGGCTGAAGCACTGATCCCTTGGTGTGACAGCCTGGACCCGCCTCACTGGCTGCGGTCTGATCTGAGTCACACTACAAAACGTGGACAGCACAAAGCAGTAAGAAGGACAAGCCTATTGACAGTACTTCTAGGATGGTTTATAAGCCAGCAGGTCATAGTGAGAGCACACTACTACACATAACTAGTAGAAACTGTAAAATTTAATGATAAGCACATTTTTGCTGCAGTTTGTTTTTAACTTAAAAAAATTAGCAGCCTGAGTTAGTAAATTTTTAAATTTCTAATAAGCTAGAGTAAAAAGCTGGTAACAAATTTAAATGGAACTGAATTTATGAAATCGGCCATACTTCTAATATCTGTGGAAACTTCTGATTTCTATTGATTTCTATGAGATTTTGTACTGCTATTTCTGCTGCTATGTCAAAAACCTTTAGACTTTGAATTAATGAGGCTTTAAAGCATATGCATAAGTTCTATTGTGATTAAGAAATAACTTCATTATGTTTTTATACAATTTGTTGAATTAATTGCCTTAGTGATTGACAAGGGAAGCAGCAAAACAAGTAGAAGACGCACTCAAATACTGACATGTATGTAACAGATGTCAACTATGTATTGTCTTACCAGTGTAAAACAATGATGTTTGTAAAACAATGGCATTTTGCATAAACAAGACACTAAAAACTCAACAAATTAATTACCCTGAACAAGGAATTGTTATCTCTTCTGAGCTGTTTCAAGGGAAAGTATATTGTTCTGTGCTCATCAGGATCCAAAACCTTTAAATGTTTCCCTTTTCCACAACAGTTAATCCCAAAGTGACTCAACCAGAAAATGGCAACACACAGAGACACGAACCCACTACATTTCTCCACAGCCTGGATGCTTTGCTCTTTGCAGTCAGCAACTACTGCCTATTGCTGTCATTTTTATTTCTATTGCTTTACATTTCTGATTAGTTTTGATTTTTATTTGCTAACTAACCACCACATGTATTCAACAGAGAGGGCCAGACCACGGCAAAGTCAAGAGAAGTGTTCAGAGATCTTATTTCACACAGTCTTGCAATTCAGAACTCTCTATTCCTGGTTCCTAGTGTTACAATTATGCAATGTCTGGCCATAAAGCTATATGGGATGCCAATTTACTGTTGTGAAAAGAAGAACACTTACCTTTATCAAAAATTTCTTTCAGCACTCCTCGTTTTATAAGCTCCTCTCTGCTTTGCCTCATTGACATTTTTCTTTCCAAAGCTGTAACAAAGGATAAGGGTCAATATAAACAGAAAAGAAGGGAAATTATTGTTTTAAAAGGCTCTATGCCTTTTAAAGGCATTTAAAAATGCTCTTTCTCCTCTTCAAGTCAGTGCAGCTTAGCATCTTGAAATAAAGGCTACTGGTAGTCCAGAGAATCTGTCTGCTACTGCAGTGTGGCTGTTATTGACAGAATTGGTGGTAGACTGGCTAATTTGAGGGCATGGCTGCACAGCCATTGCTTGGTTTTGACACAAAAGTCAAACATTTCTGATTTCTGGGGAGAATTAGAGAGAGCAAAGGGAGAAAAAGGAGATTATTGCAGGAGCTGAAGAGGGAAAGGTAAGAAAGAAGGCAACACAAAGGCTCAAACCAAGGAAAGATGTGGCCACAGAACATGGCCATGGACTGTGTCCAGGCTGTGAAAGCCAAGGCTTCTTTGCCACTTGTTCCAGTGAGGTCACGTTATGGTGTTTGGGACAGTGCAAAAAATGAGCTGATTAATAGACCCTTCTCTTCCTTGGAGGAGTGTCTTCCCCTAAAGAGATGTAAAGCAGGGAAACTCCAAGAGAGCCACTGCAATTTATGCCAGATCTGAACAGCTCAAGTTGTGTTTTGGCTGCTTGGAGACCGCGGTTACTGAGGCAGCAAAACGACAGATAGAAAATACATGTTTCTTTAGTGCAGTAGTAATTAAAACAACGTCCAATTAACCAAAACACCACAAAGGACACACACACAGGCAAAGAGCTGAAAGCCAGAAGCTGGGGGCTCAAGAAGTGATGTGAAGGAGTGGCTGTGACTGAACCCGCTCTGTGAGGAACAAGCCAGTGCCTGCCAAAAAAGAGGCACAGTCAAGGGCAAATAGCTTCTGCCATATGCTCCTCTAGCAGACCCAGCACTGATGCACACACACACACAAATGAACTGGGACTTAGCATCCTCAGCCTGCCCAAGGCAGATTTAAAGCAAAAGAGGCTTGGAAACCCCCTCTTCTCTCCTGAAAACAGGAAGGTGCAACCTTTCTTGGTACTGCTGTGTGTTGATTTTTCCCACAGGGACCCATATATCTGGTGAATTAGCTATGCTTATACTGGCACACTGTGCTTATTGCAACTTATTTGCTGCCAGATACTTAGGGCTAATATGAACAAGGCCAGCTCTGCTTCACTTTTTTCCACAGGATAAATACAGGCTTCCCTGTTTTTAAAAGCAGTTTTGAGCATGTATTCTTCAGGACAAAGATGACCAATATGTGCAGTCAGAACCCAGTTAAAAACCCTGGTCTCCCCAGGTAGAGACATACTCTCTGAACTTCAGCATGGATGAGAACTAAAGGCAGGTCCCTTTGCTGAAGCACCAGACCCCATACCCATTAACCAGCCACATGGTGCAGTTTCATTTTGGAGGTTGTTAAACTAACAACCTCTAGAGTGCTTTACACCCATTTGAAGAAGTGCTTTAGGCACCTCAGCTGACTTGCAATGAAACACTGATTTCTAAGTTTTTAATATGCTTTTGAAAAGAAAGGCTCAACTACAAAACTCTGGAGTCACACTGCAGATTGCTCTCCAAGCTGCCTTTTCCCTGTGCTGAAAAGGTCTTGTTCTGGTGCAGCATTTAAAGCTTTTTTCTCTTCCTCCTTAAGAATAGCTGCTCTCAGACCTTCCAAGAAGAGCCAGAACAAGCTGCAACTAATTCCTGAGCCTTTTCCCACCAAAGAAATTGTTAAAACTGACTGAGTTTAAAGAGCAATTTGGTGGCACCCAACACCTTTTCCAATAGGTCTCAAAAAGTGTAATTTTCTGTTAGAATAAGCAGCAAACTGAACCTGCTCTTCAGTGGGAAACCAAGCTGAGTGAATCAGCAGCAAAGCAGCAGTTTCTGCATACAGACAGCAGCACTGCACACAGAACAAAGACACAGGCAAATTCTATTTCTGTACTCTATCTGACCACAGATAGCTAAGTAACAGATCCCCATTTTGCACACAAATTCACTGGCATCCACCTGGGTGCCCTGTCTCACCCTCCTGCCCAGACAAGAGCTGGTTAAGCAAGGTAGCAGCATATGACTTCATGGCTAGGAGGTCCCACCTCATTATCATGGTACTGGTAAGAAACACAGTCATTTTGCATTCAAAGATAGAATATATACATTTTGAAGACTGTACATATATAAATTTCTTGGATATTCCCTATTGTGCTCTGCTTGTTTTCAAGAATGAAAAAACCTACAACCCTTGAGCTGAAGCTCAGACAAAATCAATTTTTTCAGTTTCTAAATCCTTTCTAAGTAGGTACAGAACTTATAGTATTAATTATTTTCCTACTAAGCCAGTTTAATTAATAAGATATTTAGAGGAAGGGCATGCTGGGCTAAGAGCAGCACTGAATGATAGCAGATATTATATTAAAACTGTGGAACATGCTGCCTTTCTTCAATTCAAATCTTCCTCCCAAACAAGTGTAGTACATTTAAGTGCATAACCTGCTATGCTATTGCTGATCAGATGGGAAAAAAATGTAAACATTTAGACACAGAACTCATTAGGGTCTAACACTCTGAACAATGAAATGCTTTACTTGCTCTGGATTTCTCTGACTAAGATTGCCAGCTCTTTTATGAAGGATTTTCATTTCAAGCAGAAAGCTGGTACAAAATAAATTCATTCACTCTCCACTGAGAAGGAATCCATTCACAGCAGAGGATAAATGTAAACCTTAGAATTAATCCTTGATTCATGAGAACCGTGTAAATTCTGTGATGGGAAAAAATGAATTATAATTAATATTTAAGAAAAGATGTATTACTTCATTAGTGTTTTTCCTTGGTGATTAACCTCATTTTTTTTTTCATCTGTACAACCTTCCAGGAGATTAGAAATAAGCATTAAGCCCTCTTCATGGGATCTACTTATTCCAGAAACTAGTTACTGTAACAAATTCATCCACTCTACAGGAAACTCTCAGTTACTAGTTTAGAGAAATGAGCCTATGTGTACTTAATGGTAGAGTGTACAGATTTTGCCAGTGTGCTCTGCAGTACGCTGTTTCTTTTATGCTTTGATGAAGAAACAGTGGGAAATGTTTTTACTAATGTTTCTGAGCTGCTATTTTTGAACTTGTCCCTCAGGAGCAGCCCCCCTCTGCTGCTCAAGCAGAGTTTTTCTCTGTGGCAGACCCATTAAGATCAGTAAAGCCTTGACAGGGTCAGGAGAAGTTCCTGCCCCTCCACTCTGAAAATCAAACACAGTTTTGTCTTTATCCCTTTAACAGGCTGCTGTGCTCTGTGATGGCAGTGCTTGTGGGCTGCTCCTCCAGCTGAGCCGGCCAAACTCCGCGCTGCCGCTGAGCCCAGCGCTCCTGCTGCTCCATTAACCAGCCAGAGCGGCATTTGTGCTGTCAGGACACACAGACTTCCCGTCCTCCTGTCTTCCCTCCGAGGCAAAAACACCTCAGATGAACTATTCCAACCTGCATCTATATGAGACAACAACAAATTAATAATAAATATTATTATACAAGATAATGACAAAGTGTCCTCCTTTGCAGCAATTGTTACGTTGCTGCTTAACCAAAGGGTGGACTAAATAAACAAGGCCTGCCCTTTTCATCTGACAACTGAAACAAAATCCCAGTCTGTGCTGGCCAATTGGATCTTAACCTTGCTTTTTTCTGAGGTTGTCCTTGGCTTTTGTTTTAAAAAGCACTGGGGGTTGCTTTGCATGAATTCTTCCTTTCAAAGGCCACTGTAATTTTCATGATGATTTTAGAAAGCAAAGGTTGTTACAGGATGAAGCTGAGAGCAGAAGCTTTCAATTATACTTGCTTTCAATAGGAATCTGCTTTGCTAATAATTCCGATCTGAATAATTAGAAACGAGTAAACCAATTGCTTTTCACAACATTTAGATAAACAACCATCACTGTTTTCTTCAGATTTATAAGGAAGAAGAGATTGTCAAATGCGATGGATTACGTATTTAAAAATGTTTCACATCATCTTGAAATTTTCACAAGTAGGTAGACTTGGCAATCAAATGAAGTAGGATTCAGCTGATACAAATTTTTATAGTGTGGGCTTCTGCCTCTGAGTTGGTCTCCTCATATGGTATGATCAAGTCTTGGGCATCATTAACCTCAGAATAATGTAAGAATCTTAACAAGATTGAGTTGCACCTTGGAAGTGCCTGTTAGGCTTCACTGAGTGCAAAGGAATCTAAGGGTGAATAACTAGATAAAGATACATAAAAATAGGGCTGAATATACCCCTGAAATCAAAATTGACTGAAGAGAGTAGTTTTAAGAAAAGAAACACTGCTATAGGTGCAAGTCTTAGACATCACTGAGGAAAATGTAGATGTATCAGCTCACTGAGAGCTCCATTAATTTTGGGGTTGTTTTAATAGCTATGGCATGACACTCAGCACTGTTGCTCTGAGCTTGGGGTATGACCAATACCAAAACATAGCTTGGTTTAAAAAAAACTGTATTGCTCTGCTCATTGCTAAATACGAATTTTCCTTGGCTTCAAACATGCATAGGTCTCTTAAAGCCTGAGGAAAGTAAAACTATTCCAACAGGTTTCTGAATCTTTGAGATTTAAAGTCCCTTACAGAAGTTTTGAGCATCTCTAATATCAGCCTAGGTTTTCCTGCAACAGTACCAACTACAAAACCTAATTCAGACAGATTACTTCCTAGAAAAGGTTGGGAGCCTCTTTTTGTCTGTGTGCTTGCTCATGACATTCCTTGTTGTGACTGTAGCCTAGCACTCCCATTCTATGAAATAAGAGAACATTTGAAGGAAAAAAATAGGTTGGTATAAAAGGTTAAGCTTGATTTTGAAAAGTGTATAGAAGTACCTCTCCAAATCAGCTGACCAAACAAACTCCCTTCAGTATGTGAATCACTTGGAAAACTTCTGTGGCATGTGCTCCAAGACAAACTAATAACACAGAAAAACCCCACAGCACTGATGCCACACTAAAGAGTAACTC